TCGACTCATTCAAACTTCCCCGCATTTGCATCCCAACAGGAAACTTGGCGAATTTCAATACAGTGCCTAGAAAGCACCGATCAAAACCACCAAAGTTACATTATCACTGCAGTGAATTATTTTTATCAAATTAATAAATGCCTACAATTCAATGGCAAAATTGCAATAAAAAGATTCAATAAATGGATTTGGTTTAAAAATATACTAGATTTGATACGCCGTATGGAAATAAAAACATATTGCTGTCATTCTTTTCATTTCATGAAAAATTCATCTTAAAATTTATGTAGTTGATTATAAAAGAATGAGCGCATAAAAACAATTTTAAAATCCTCGTCAGTGCTATCAGATTCATTATGTCTTTGGCGGGCGACAACTTGCAAAGTTTCACCACTTCAACTTGTCGAAACCCTACAAGAGAATGAAGACATGTCAACAACATTGTATTATAGATAATGGCAGAAAAAGGGAGACGAAACTGTGGATAAGATATGAAAAAAGGAACATTTAGACATGGAAAGTTAAAAACTAGGTGTTTCAGAAGAGTAAGGATATTTGTCTTTGGCAACATCATCTGCTATGTAATACATGGTTTCAAGAGATGATTAAATCATGGGAAGCTTTACGGTTGTCATAGTGATCTCATTCAAAAAGAGTCCATTTCTTTGTACAATATGAAGCTGTCTGAAGCATGCCTGTTGGTTTCGTTGTTGTATACCTCGTTCTAATATTTGAGAATGTGACATTACTCACTTGGATTATTTACATTGCGGGTGTCGTCGATGAAGCAGAAGATGCTTACTGTTCTGGAACACATGGTCCTTTTCACTTTATACGTTTTCTCCGTGTTAATCTTTCTTTTGTTAATGTTTTGCCCTAGTTTAATTAAATTTAAGTATGGGTTATAATTTTACTTACGTGTTGGTATTTTCTTGTTATTTCTTTTAATCTAGACCAATCGAAATAATGTCAAGTTTTCAAAAAATAGTAACAGGTTAAGAACAACGTCACTAGCAGCTATATTAACGAGCATCAAATACAACAACACATGGTACAAGAAAACAGATGGTACAGAAGAAAACTCATTCTATGTTCATCTAATGAACTTATGTTGATCATTAAAGTCGCTGACTAGAACAAGTGATCTCATTAAATAGTTTTGATATTTTTGTTGGAGAACTTCATTATTCACCGGAATATCTTTTCCCTTTAGTTTAAAACTAAATTTATTTTCAATTTGATGTTTTTGCTTGAGAACTTCAGAAATTCACCCGAATACATTCTACCATTATTGTCAAACTTTTATCTTCTATATACAAAACTATCGTTATTTCAACGTTTTAATACTAATTAGGAAGCTGTTTTAGCTTAATTTAATGGAAGGTAATTACAAATAGATAAATAATTTGTCTGTACGATACACATATAACGCTTAAGTAAGTAAAAGGACTTTTTCTATTATTTTCTTCGTTTAATTGAATTTGAAATAAAAATTAACCAGTGATATGACAATGACATCTTACCTATACTCTACCTACATTCAACAAAAGATAAGAATATTGTAATTCATATCAAGATTTAAAGAATGGTAATGCTATAGTCTATATATACATTTAACATTTTCTAAGTAATGAAGTGTTGTGCTAACATATATTCAAAATTTGACATAAGGATGTCGAATGTTGTTTTATAAAATGATGGAGAAATCATTTATACATAAAATATCTTAAATATGTTACGAAAATCTTTAACAAGGAATACAGCAATGCTAGATGTCTGTATTTTGTCACTCGTCCACTGATAAACAATACACTAACAATACTATAGATAAACAAGAAAACTATACATATGCAAATGACATATCCAACGACAACTAGCTATGAAATCTACTGCTATTATAAAGATATTTACATGAATAAAAGAACAATAAAACAAATAAGGATTTGTCTTTTAATTTGAAGATATATATCATGACGAATGACAAAGCTTGTCTGGAAAATCTTTCGGAACTACTTATTTTTTATTGATTTGTTTTTATTTTTTTGATAAAATTTAATTCGCTTTTATGACATGACCTCCCTGATATGATATCCTAGGAACTGCTCGGTAGTTTGGGTAGGCATTACATTTTTGGCTGTTAACATCTTTGCCGTGTTTGGTGGGAAAATTGTTTTCAGGCCGAGAGATTTTCTTTTTATTTTTGACTTGTTTATTTATATGTACGTTATGCTGTCTTTAAATATATCTGTTTTATATATATATATATATTAATCTTGCATGTCAAAAAACCCCTGGAAATCAAATAACCTAGATTCACTTGCAGATAAATATGTAGAATATGACACGTTAACGCAAAATAAATTTGTATAAAAAAAATCGAAAATCGTATTTGATATGTTCAGTGTCATGTAATATACTAGTGGTCCCAGTCCCGTTGTTCATGCCACAGTTCTCTTTTTGAGAGTATCACATTATAATCAACTTGACTTTACCTTGTTTTGATGTTAAGTAACATCAATGAAACTGAAGACTCTCACTCTTTCGCCACATCTAGTCTATCATCGTTGAAAATTTTCTGGTCCACACTGTTATTTCTTTTAGGTTTTTATTCTTGTTGTTTAAAATTATCTGAATATGACGAAATTATCCATTTCTATTTTCCTGTTTCAGTATGATGTGCTACACTACTCCTGTCTGATTTGTGTACATGATAACAATTCCGTATCATAGAACATAACACTACACACCGAAGTAGACAAAAACAGTTTTTTATTTTGAATTAAATAACGAAGGATTATCTGCTCAGGGATATTGTTATCGAGAAAAACAATTCCGAGAAACATATCATTGTTATAACGATCAGATAGAAAATATTAATAACATTTAACACCAGAAGATATTTTCTCCAGATTTTTTTTATGATTTTTAAATAGGATGACGTCGTAGATTCCTTTTATAGCTAACTAATTTGTATGAAATCATTGCAAAAGAAAAATAAGAAGTCGTAAAAGGAAATATCTATATTGACCTCCGTATTTATTGATGAAACAACGATAAGAAGAACTAAATGAGACATAACGTGACCGTTTTTTCTTATATTGTATGTAGAGCATCTCACATATATATCGATATAATATGGAATTTATTGAACGAGATCAATAATTTGAAACGTCACGAGTCTTTATCAAATAATAATTGACTCATTTTTTTTTTTTTTTTTTTGGAAAATTCAGAGGAAGCTCTTAATTTGGTCTCCTTATAAACATATTATTTCTACACAGACTACTGAAACTACTATGTGACATTATTAAGACGCGACTCATTCATGACGTCACATAAATATTTTTAAACACGTGCCTTACGATATTTATGACATGGTCTCATGACATGACACAACAGACCAATTAAATGATAACTTTCTATTAAAAAACGTAACACTGTTTATATGGTTACAACAATAATTGTATAATTTATTTATTGGAAAACAAATATTTTGGTTCTATATCATCACAAATAGTTTAATGAAATAATTCAATACTACAGTACTCTGACGATGCTAAGGCTGATGTTCATAAAATACTCAATAGAAAAAAGGACCTTTAATTTCATGTTAATCAGAGCGAGCAGCTTTCGATGAATCATAACTGATTAATAGTTAAATAAAAATGCTACCCCTGTAGCACTTTCTTCTTGCAAAAAACAACTATCAAGAACATTTTATTTCTTAATAAACGTGGATGTTGTTCATTGATTCATAGTACAGACAATGCAAACCTTTACGATGACATTTTTTGCTTTTTACAAATCGACGTCATCCCGTTATAAGCATTATATCATTGACATTTAACCCATGAATCAACAGTAAATTTATGATGTTACGTTGTCAGACTAGCATGTTAAACACAGCACTGAGGTCAAACAGTCACATCGATGCAACAGAATTACAAGTTAACTGTCATATGCCGCGCACAAACAATTAACCCGCGTGCAAATGTTCTTCCGCGTCAGCTACTATAAAGAGACCTCCATCACAGGAGAGCGGTACAATTCCAGCATATCCGAATCCCTCTAGACAAAGGTAAGGCAATATTTTACACAGTAGCTCGTAACGAAGGTTGTCTCTAAATTAATAATATAATAATATATACAGAAACTGGTTAAAGCAATATGATCGCCATTAATTATAATATAAAACAAATTGTTAAACGTCTTGAACAATACTTGCAAGAAAAGTAATTATAAGTGTTATCAAAATTGTGCATGAAAACGTTATTAACGAAGAAGCTAAAAATGACATAAATACATAATTGTATACAACAGCACAATTCATATTTATAGAACCTGTCTCAATTGTCGATTTCGGGTTTATTGCAATAGTAAAACAAATGATTTCAACAGTATTTCCATACAAAAGGCATGGTATGACAGCCCCTCTAATTAAAACAAAATGACCGAATTCGACATAGAATTGATTGTTGATAATTTTGCGTGCATCACGTACGTTTCCCTCATTGATGTCGATAGCTAATATAAACTTATATTTGATGACTATGGAAGGTGCAGATTGAGAAACGATTTTGAAAATGAAAAAAATATCACTGTCATGGCCTCATTTGAAAATATGCTGTTTGTTATCAAGTTATAAATGTTTGTGTTCGATGCTAGTTGTTATGCCTGGTAGATTCAGTGTTATATACCTGGTTCTCATTTTGAGAACGTGCCATTTACGTACTTAGAATAACCCAGAGTTACATGGCTCTTGTAACTATAACAGAAAATATGAACTCTTTTGGATCACCTGGTCTGATTCCTCTGGGTTTTTAATGGCCTCTGTGTAAAAATTGCCATGACACATTTCCCCATTTGTTTCACAGTCTTTCACTTATTATCTGAAGTTTCTAAGTATTTTCTTGATGTATCTATGCTCGAATAGTCATAGATATCAGCTTACAAACATATCACAATCACAACCTAAAACATGATTTGGATGATTTCAGAAAATGATGTTTCTTCTTGCCGTGGTTCTTGCCTGCTATGTCGCCCAGCCAGGAATGGGCACCAACTGGGGTAAGATATATGGAGATCGACATCATCATAGTTTTTTTGCTTACAATGTTTCACTCTCACTAATGGTTGTTAAAAACACTACAGCAAACTGACAAAAAGCTTGTAACTACACATTGGGCGACAAAGTAATGGACAAGTTATTTCTTATTTCTAAGGGCGCTTAAAACGTGACTAGTTACATATCAAATTAGCTTTTTCACTTAGGTATATATAGATGATTAGATATACATCGGGACATGAAGCCATCCAGATACAAACCTACACATGATTAATTAACTTTATTCAGACATCTTACATGTTAATCATTTTCTTGTAGTTATAACTCAAAAGGAGACGAGTTTTAGGATTAACTGAAACGAGATAGAAAGATAATAAGTAAAAGGATTGACTCAAATTATTTAGACGATGATAAGGAAAGGATTGACTCAAATGAGTAAGAAAGATAATAAGTAAAAGGATTGACTCAAATTATTTAGATGATAATAAGGAAAAGGATTGATCCAAATTATTTTGATAAGGGAAGGATTGACTCAAATGAGTAAGAAAGATAATAAGTAAAAGGATTGACTCAAATTATTTAGATGATAATAAGGAAAAGGATTGATCCAAATTATTTAGACGATGATAAGGAAAGGATTGACTCAAATGAGTAAGAAAGATTATAAGAAAAATGATTGACTCAAATAAGTTAGAAAGATAATAAGGAAAAGAAGTAACTCAAATGAGTTAAATAATAATAAGGAAAAGGGGTAACTCAAATGAGTTAAAAAGATCATAAGGAAAAGAAAAGATTATCATTTGCTCATATTCCAGCAATAGTTTTAAATCATTTTGATTTTCACGACATGTGTTTCGGATATATATACATTTAGCTGTGAACATCATCAAAGGGTCTTAAAAGAAAGAAACAGCAGTATGGTAATGTTTTGTCTATTTCTAGGAATATGCGATATATCATAATATCTTACTATTTATTTTAATTCTATAGAAGAATTGATGTTTAAGAACTTGAGTACATGGTAGGTGCATTCATTGATGCTTATTCAAGTCTATGACATAAATCTAATGCGTTACTTTTAACAAACATGATTTTCTAATTATTACGGGGAGTATATATGTTGTATTTGTTGACGTTGAATAAGAATTCATTCGTCTACAACTAATTAGTTTTTTTAACTTCCAACGATTTATCTATTTATTTTGTTGTTTGTTTGTTATTTCTATGTTTATTGCATTTTGATTTTATTCCCATTTCTCGTATATTTGTTTGTTTTATACGAAAACATGCCATTGACTCTGTCACCATACACATACCGAGTTGTAAGACTCGCTTTCTGTATTTTATACAGGAGCAGGATCCAGCATGTACGGGGGCGGAGCGGGAATGTCATCATTTAGCACGAGTCCATGGTATGGCTCTAACTGGTACAACAGACGCAGCTCAAGTACTACACCATGGCAAATGCCCATAAGTGCTAGATCCTTGTATTATAAACGGCACTCACTATCAGTCGGAACTCCAATAGTATCCACCTACTATACAACCTCGTATCCATCTTTTACAGGAGGCATGAGTGGTATGGGAGGTATGGGTGGTATGGGAGGAATGACCACCATGGGAGGTATGGGTTCAATGGGCACTACAGGAGGCATGGGTGCCATGGGAGGTATGGGTTCAATGGGCGCAACAGGAGGCATGGGTGCCATGGGAGGCATGGGAACTATGGGTTCAATGGCAGGAGGTAGTTCAATGGGCGCAACAGGAGGCATGACCACTATGGGAGGCATGGGTTCAATGGGCGCAACAGGAGGCATGGGTACCATGGGAGGCATGGGTTCAATGGGCGCAGCAGGAGGCATGGGTGCCATGGGAGGTATGGGTTCAATGGGCACTATGGGTGGCATGGGAGCTATGGGTGGTATGGGTGGTATGGGAGGCGGAAAATTCATGGGAGGCATGGGAGGCATGGGAGGTATGACTTCTATGGGAGCAACAGGTGGTATGGGTGGTATGGGTGGAATGGGTGGAATGGGCGGAATGGGAGGTATGGGAGGTATGGGTGCAACTGGTGGCATGACTTCTATGGGAGGTATGGGTGCAACTGGTGGCATGACTTCTATGGGAGGTATGGGTACAACTGGTGGCATGACTTCTATGGGAGGTATGGGTGGAATGGGTGGTATGGGTGGAATGGGAGGTATGGGTGGAATGGGAGGTATGGGTGGAATGGGTGCAACTGGTGGCATGACTTCCATGGGAGGTATGGGTGCAACTGGCGGCATGACTTCCATGGGAGGTATGGGATCAATGGGCGGCATGGGCTCAGCTGGACCCGCATTTACAACCAGTGTAAAAAAGAGAGGTAAGACATGTTCTCTTGTCATGATAGCATGGTTCACTGAAATTTACATTTAACAAGTAATATAGTATTTACATAGCTCTTCGATTTAGAAAAAATAATGTTGATTTCACAATAATCCGTTTACATTTCAGGTTCCTATTAAGACTACGACAGCTGCGGATCACAGACAACGAAACCTAGATGAATATTACAAACGTTGCATTATATATACATCCTTTGTAAACAAACTTGTGTGTGTTTTATGTACCAGTTAAATTATTAAATATTACGGTTATGCCAAACAGAATGTGTTATCTTTTTATTTATATGTAATTCATTCAAAGATGACAATGACAGAAAAAGGACATTTCGGGAAATCAAAAAGAGAACAAAATGTAAACAAAAATTTGAATCTAAGATGTTTCTCATCAAGCTGTTTACATGAAGTTTGTTTAAATATGCATAATATTTAAATAAATAACTACTTATACATTAAAGTTAAGGGTCTGTGAATGTACTTTTTCACATTTCTGCCCTACATCCAGGTTGATATTCTCGGAGTTTCTTGTATTATCTTATTTTATTCTACTGATATTTGATACTCAGTTTGATGAATCAGTGTGCCTGTTCACCTCCCGATCTCAACAACGTTTTCGACTAGGTTTTTTTTGTATTTTCTCGGTAATCTACAAAGGTCAATATGTCAGGCTTTTAGCATTACTGACGAGTCCTAGAAGGACGAAACAGATGTATGATGTAACATCACTGACGAGTCCTAGAAGGACGAAACAGATGTATGATGTAATATCATTGACGTGTCCAAGAAGGACGAAACAGCTGTATGATGTAATATCATTGACGTGTCCAAGAAGGACGAAACAGCTGTATGATGTGTCCAAGAAGGACGAAACAGCTTTATGATGTAATATCATTGACGTGTCCAAGAAGGACGAAACAGCTGGATGATGTGTCCAAGAAGGACGAAACAGCTGTATGATGTAATATCATTGACGTGTCCAAGAAGGACGAAACAGCTGGATGATGTGTCCAAGAAGGACGAAACAGCTGGATGATGTAATATCATTGACGTGTCCAAGAAGGACGAAACAGCTGGATGATGTGTCCAAGAAGGACGAAACAGCTGGATGATGTGTCCAAGAAGGACGAATGACGCAGCTGAATTCATTATCTGGCTCTATTGTATTTAATTCTGAATTGTATCTTATATAATATTTTCTGTTTCTACAACCTATCACTGATGATGTTTACAAGTTGCATTTGATATCATAAGGGTTTGTTCCCAATATCACAACGTCCGTGATAAATATTGAAAATCGACAGAAAAAAATAAATACACAAAAATAGAAATGTCTTATGGTCGTAATCATGGTCCTTATTGGGAAATCAAGCACTGTCTTGGGCGATATAAAAATAATGATAAAAAGTATCGACATATCAAAAGAATCTTGTATAATTTAAAATTTGAGGAACTTAGGGAACGATATTATCAACAATAAGATTAACATAGAAGACCCCTGCAAAAGAAATGGAAAGCTCAGGTGTTCCGTAGGACAAGCGTTTTCTGCTTCATCGACGACACCCACAATGAAAATTATCTTAATGTAAATCAATATGAAGTTAGATGTGTTCGATGATTTCTTAGTAGAACAGCTCTCATTTTGAGAGCTTGACTTTTATTGATTTGAACCTAATGACATAGTAGGTGTCGGTAGTAAACATCATCTTGGACATCAGGTGTTATTTTCCTTTTTTCAAGAGTCGTTAAGTATCATATTTTGTTGGGGTTTTTTTGTATTTTGTTTTTCTTGTAATTTTTCTACGATAAGGCATTTTATAATTTGTTACGCAAATTAAAAGACACTGAACTATTTGATTGACATAAAAGTGAGTTTTACTTGAATTGTAAAAGGTTATATGGGGTAAATACTTCAAAAGTAATCTTATATCAAATCATGTCACATTCTTTTCACTTTTGTGATATTTCCTTGTATAATTCTAACAACTTAAGTACTAATAAGTTGAAATAATTACTGGGTTTGAACAGAACCGTCTTTGTAACTCAAAACCGATATCGACGAAGGTAATATATAAAACACAAGGAGATAAAAGACAAACTGCAAGGAAAATCTGTCCGACATGTTTCATATCTTACATCTGGCGCTTTGAAAGCATTGAAGCAGGCTGTATTTTGCATAAAAGCATCATCATTGTCTAGTAATACATAGCAAATCACAGTCTCGCGTTACTTCTTCCCCTCGCCAAACAGTCATGACGATATATTCATAGACCCAAATTGTTATAATCGAATAAATTCTGAAAAGAAATAAATGAATTAATAAATAGAGAAATGAATGAATAGAATAAGAAAAAATCATTCCTTAAAAGGCACAAACATGAAGTATTGAAAATCGATATTGATTCATTGATCATATATGTTAACGAACAAACAACGCTTGTGAGATATTTTTGCTCTTTTACAAGTCGGAGGATACAAGATGAATTAAACAGTTGACAATTTAATGAAGAATTAGGTTTTTGTCCTTGTGTCCTGTGATTAGAAAACCTAGATTAATTTAGACATTACATCATTTTCAGTAGCACCATCACGCGACGAATGCGACAAAGTGACACCTGGCTCCAGATGTAGAACTAAGAGAGTTGTTTCCCTTGCTACGTATAAAAGAAATAAAATTTCGATATCGTAAAAAGACTATGATATATTTCTCCGTTTTTATCTGTCATGTTTGTGTTTTGTGGAACCCCTTTACTAAATGTTAATTGACAGGCTGAAAGGACTAATGACGTGATATTAACAAACGTTCTATGAGTATACAACACATATGTTACATATAAAACAGCCTTTTTCAGGAAGTGGACAGGTAATTAGTCTGACCAGAATGTCGTTGTGCTTGGTACGAATATCTATATTAACTAATCCTGTTGTCGGTTCCTGTCTTTCGTATCCACATTACTTATTCACGTTCAAATCCCGAGGCAAAATATTGAAGGTATTTATCAATATGACAAATTTACCGAATGGACACCGTTCAACAAATATTTTCTAATGGATTCTGTCAAAAATTCCTCTTTGTCACAATGGTATTCCATATATCACATTATTAGTTTTCATTTGTCATAAAACAGTTGTTCACATTTCGTGTATATTAGTCAGTAAAGACACTCACGACTGAAAAAAAATCAGAAATTCATTCTAAAAAATTGTAAATAAAGATGCTTAATCAATTTTTGTTTGTTTGTTTTGTTTTTGTTTACCTTTTTTTAAAAAGACTAATCTGTTTTTTTTTTTTTTTTTAGTTTGTTTTAAACTTATAACTTCATTCAATAAAATAAAGTACCATAGCAACATTTCTACGTAATTTCTATTATCACGACTAAAACTTCATTTCGATATGAAATATTTCGTCAAGGAATATTGTGATATCACCATATCGTACCTAACTGATATGTGGTATCAGTGTGGTAATTACATCATATTGATCAATCAATCAGTCCCTAATATCAACAAATCTACGCCCACGTGAATTAGTAAACATGCAAATATATTTTCTCAAAGCTAGTTAAATGTACTGTGATATAGGAAAACTATATTGAAAAATACCATGATATGTGAAAAACCATATTTTAAAAGTACCATGATATGAGAAAGACCATATCAAAAAAGAACCATGATATGTCAAAATTCATATAAAAAAGTACCGTAATATGTGAAAACTATATTTAAAAAGTACCAATATATGTGAAAAACCATATTAAAAATCTCATAAAAAAGGAGCTACCGCTGTGCTTATGAAATATACATCGCTGAACTATTGAACTGTGAACGAATGATATGTACCTCGGGTCATATGGTAAACATCAATGATTCTATATCCATGTTTTCTGGAAATTGAAACCGTTTAGAGGGTATAACACAAACAATCACATGACGTCATTATACTCTCAAAAGAAATCAACAATGTCCTGTTTATATTATTGAAATATAAACACAAAATTCAGTGGAACTTTCTCATATTTGTATATCTCAACATGGCTTAAACATTTTTATCATCTGCTTTTAATTCATAAATGGAAAGAAGATTTTGAAAATCCTATACCACTTATTATGATTTATACTCGATCAGAAGATATTTATTCGCGTCCTTAGATAATTTTTTTCTTTATTACAGCTATGGTTGGTACCATATGTCTACCACTATCACAGATCACAGGTCACAAAAGAAGTTTCTAGACTGGAAAGAAAAGTTGACGTTTTTTTAGATAAAGCATTGGGTCCTTTTCAGTGTTTGAGAAGATTAATATCATTTTATATCTGATATCAGTAATAGTTTATTCCTCCAGTCAAGTTTAGAATTTATACAAACAAATAAGAAAACTTTGTGCTTAATTTCCAATTGTGTTGATCGGAAGCACATGTACAACCCTCTTTTCACAAAGTTATCACCATAGTTTATAAATTTTCCCACTTTCCATTTTGCATTGTAACATCAAAGAAAGATTTCAGTTAAAATATTTTTACTTGAATTTGTAAGCTTGTGATGAAAATATTAATTTTAGGAATATCAAGAAATCTTAGTCTTACGGTAAATAGATCCGTGTTACATTTTTTATTCATATTGAAGTGGTGAGGTTTTGAAGCTAGCTTCGACATCCATCTCACTAAATAAAACTTTAAGTTGTAATGTTGAAAAAAAACACCTGTTTGCTACAAAGAATAATTTGTAATCTCTGCGGTCACGTGGTAAAAGGTACAACAAATCACATCTAGTTCTAAAAATAAAAAGCACAAATTTCCCCTTTTAAGAACGTAAAGAGTCATATCGTAATGGTTGGTGTTTATTTCTTTGCAGAGTTGGTGGGCAATGTAAGAGCAAATTGAAATCAACGCCCTTCCCTCTATCTGTACTAATAAATATACACAATTGCTTCAGTCTTCAGGGGTTATCAGAGATTGTTAGTGTGAAATTCCAACAATAGGGGAAATATCAAAACGCCATGAAAGCGTGTACACAGGAGACCTATACATTGCTAGACCATGACATGTTGAAAAAAAATGTATTCTTGTGTATGTAGAAGTCACAAGTTCTATTAATAGATTTCTACGAAATTAGATTTAAAACATTTAAGAGACGTCAATCTCTGTCACGGAAAAGCTTACGAGGTAGTTATGTCGTGTTACTTTTACATATTTAACATGCACGTAGGAGTTTGTTTTTTTATATTGCTGTTCGTCACCACTAAATCTTGTTGATTGTTTCGTGCACTATGTAGTTACCTAAAACAGAAAGAAAACTGGAATGAATCATAAAAGATGTTTTAGAATCAATTGTTTAAAGTTTACCTCTGTAAATCATTTGACTGTCATGATATCAGATCATCATTGTAAATGTTATATGATGTGGGCATGCTGCCTTGTTCAACATGCCTACGGGGTCGAAAGGTTACAAAACAAAAGTCACAGACATGCTTTAAATGTTTTTTTTTCTGTATTAGGTATAACATAAAAGTACACACGAAAAAGTCTCTTCCTTGTCTGTACATATAAATATCTGATCATATGCCTTTTAATCAGATCCCTGTCAGAACTTTGTCGGACGTACAGGTAAGAGTTAGATATAACATGTCATTTATACTCTCTTCTTAAAAGTTATTGAATATATAAACATTTTATCAATATTTGTTATTTTCCCATTCGTTTACTGAACGCGGTTAATCGGTCACGATAACGCGCCAAAACAACTTTCGCGAAAAAGACTCTATTGAATGCTATTTTAAACTGTTTATTTAATTTTGTCATTATTCGCGACGATTAACTTTCTTGCATTTGTTTCCAGTGCACGACTCGCGCAAATCTATCGCACGTGAAAGGAAACTGGTTAATGGTTCATATTAAAATTTCTTGTCTTCCTAATCTACAAAATTGCGATTGACAAATTTTATGTAATTTTTTCTCTTTCCAAGAGAGCGAGATATTTTTCTTACTGTCTTCCGTTATTTTTTACATACAATTGCATACGTTGAATGAGCTATCGTGAGGAACGAGGGAGTTATCGGGAGGGATGAATGAGTTAGCGGGCGGGATGAGGGAGTTAGCGGGCGGGATGAGAGAGTTAGCGGGCGGGATGAGGGAGTTAGCGGCCGGTATGAGGGAGTTATCGGGAGGGATGAGAGAGTTAGCGGGCGGGATGAGGGATTTAGCAGGCGGGATGAGGGAGTCATCGGGAGGAATGAGGGAGTTAGCGGGAGGGATGAGGGAGTTAACGGGAGGGATGAGGGAGTTAGCGGGCGGGATGAGGGAGTTATCGGGAGGGATGAGAGAGTTAGCGGGCGGGATAAGGGAGTTAGCGGGCGGTATGAGGGAGTTAGCGGGAGGGATGAGAGAGTTAGCGGGAGGGATGAGGGAGTTAGGGGGCGGGATGAGGGAGTTATCGGGAGGGATGAGGGAGTTAGTGGGCAGTGTTGCAAAGTTTGAATCCTATGAATGATTAACGATCTCGTTGGAGAGTTAATTTTGTGTCGACCCAGATTTGGAAATAGTACACCAATTGTTTAGTTGTAGACCATATTTATGACTTCTGAAAGATAAAATTTGAACGACATGATTACGCATGTAAATTCCCGTGTTCAAGGAGCGATATCAGAGAGTACGTATTGTTTTTAAAGAATGCTTAGAGAATTGCGACTACATAATTCAGGTGGTTTTGTTCACCACTATATCGTAAACTGATTAATGGGGAAAAAGGCATTATGAGTAATTATCTAAAATTAGAATAAAGAAATATTAGACTTTGGGCGATATTCTTTTATGCCATATTTTAGGACCTTCCAATAAGAATTTCAGTTTTTATCAAACAAAATCAAACAGAATTTATATTCTAGATTATCAGTCGAACCTCGTATAACTCAAAAATTACACAAAACATTCGAACTCACTTAAATGGAACACTAGGTTATCTCGCAGTTTCTTCGTGGTCACGCCGAGTTCGAGGTAACGAGGTTCGAGTGTACAATAATACGTCTATAAAATCGTTCACATAATGCTTTAACGTATATATATATATATGTTATTTGATAGGTAAATGAGAACTTGTGCTTTGATATCTACTGACTATTTATTGTAATATTTCTTTTGTCGATTGTTTATGAAATATTGTGTTTTCATTTTTGTATTTTAGAAAATGGGGCGCCATCTAGCGCTGACGTTTCTCTTCTGCTATGCAGTATGTGTTGGCGTAGTTAGAGGTAAGACTGACGTCAGCTGTACGTTTCACGACGCCCTTACACACGACCCCGACGTTGTATCCGTTAAGAGAGTGTTATACAATATTCTCTGAGTTTAATTAATGACAACATATATATTTTAATTTTCACAATTGCGAATCACAATTAGGACATCATAACCACTTAAGTCATTAGTTTGATTATTTGGTTTATCGCCCCGTAAAAATGTCAGGGTCAGTTTGCGGCGGAGTAACTTCGTAGTTGCTGGTAGCTATCTCACTGAATACCTCACGGAAGACACGTCGCGTGCCATCCAAAGAATTAGGGTTAATTATCTTGCCTAAGAAGACAACTATATCAGCACAGACCAATTAGTTTCAAGGATTAAATACAAACTATTAATGGTTCAGAGGTTGGAATCACGCAGCGCAGATATTCACCTGATGTTACGCAGGCCAACATCATAAACAATGAATCATTTGCCGGTTGTATTAATACCTTGATTTTTACTTGTTTTTATTAACCTCATGTTAATTTAAAAGCTATGAATATGAACTACCTAAAAGCCTTTGTCCAGAAGAAATTTCACGATAATTCATCTTAGGATGTGATTAAAAGTTACTGACCTGAATGGAATGTTGAAACCTGGCAACATTCCTTGAAATATTCGTCTTCCGTTACCCATTCCAACTTTCCTTCCACCGATTCCCGTCTCCCATCTCCCGACATCCGTTCCCCGACTCTCGTTTCCCGATCTCCCTTCCCCCGACTCTTGTCTCCCGATCCCCATCCCCCCGACTCTCGTCTCCCGACCTCCGTCCCCCGACTCTTGTCTCCCGACCTCCGTCCCCCGACTCTTGTCTCCCGACCCGCGTTCCCCGACTCTCGTTTCCCGATCTTCCTTCCCCCGACTCTTTTCTCCCGATCCCCATCCCCCCCGACTCTCGTCTCCCGACCTCCGTCCCCGACTCTTGTCTCCCGACCCGCGTTCCCCGACTCCCGTCTCCCGATCTCCATCCTTCCCGGCCTTTCTTTACTCTTTCGTCTCTTCCTATCTATGAACGCTTATTCCTGTAAAAGGTCAATAACGTTGGTTCACTTTAACTGAAATATTGACCTAAGTGTAAATCTAAGGATTTGCTCGATCATATCATCGATCTAGTGGTTTCTTCACTTTCACCTGGACATTCAATGATTACATCGTACATAGTGATAAAGAATAGTTATTTACGATGTGAATAGTGAATAAAACAAAGAACAATTCACCCCGAGATACTTGGAACGACAAGGAAAAGGCACCGATACCTCAGTGTAGTAATACTCCTGAACAGGAAAATCTTGTTCATGAGATTATAGCAAAATCGACAAAATATATAAATAAAGGAAAATCAATAAATAAAATAAAGCAATTTTTCAAAAAACTTCAGAATTTCTGAGTTAAATTCGTTTGTTCTGTAGGCGATGGGCCATCCGCGATGACCAGTATGATGTCAGGCACGGCCGGTACGTCTACGGGAGGTACTTCCGGTGTGATATTCCCTGCTACGTCTGCCACAGGAATGATGGCTAGTGGCGGAGGGGTATCGGGAAGCGAAATGATGTCAGCCACCGGAGGTGCAATGCCTAGTGCCGGGATGATTTCTGGCACTGGCGGAATGACGGGAGGCGGAGATTTCGGGATGATTAGTAGTACAGCTATACCTTTTTATGGTACCAGTGGGGGCATGTTTAGCGGAATGTGTTCAATGATTCCTGGGCGAAGCTGGTCCTTCTATGGCTCAACTGGTGGCATACCGACTTACGGAATGGGCGGTGGTATAATGGGTAGTGGAATGATGGGAGGTGGAGCAATGGGAAGTGGGATGATGGGAGGTGGAGCAATGGGAAGTGGGATGATGGGAGGTGGAGCAATGGGAAGTGGAATGATGGCAGGCGGAGCCATGGGCAGTGGAATGATGGCAGGCGGAGCCATGGGCAGTGGAATGGGAGGTGGAGCTATGGGAAGTGGAATGATGGGAGCTGGAGCAATGGGAAGTGGAATGATGGGAGGCGGAGCCATGGGAAGTGGGATGATGGGAGGCGGAGCCATGGGCAGTGGAATGATGGCTGGCGGAGCTATGGGCAGTGGTATGACGGCTGGTGGAGCTATGGGCAGTGGTATGAAGGCTGGTGGAGCTATGGGCAGTGGGATGATGGCTGGTGGAGCTATGGGAAGTGGTATGACGGCTGGCGGAGCCATGGGCAGTGGTATGATGGCAGGCGGAGCCATGGGCAGTGGAATGATGGCAGGCGGAGCCATGGGCAGTGGTATGACGGCTGGCGGAGCTATGGGTAGTGGAATGATGGCTGGCGCTGGGTCTGGTATGGGCATGGGAGCCGGGACTATGGGAGGAGGTGCCATGGGAGGAGCCATGGGAAGCGGTGGCATGTCTTTTGTCACCAGACGCAAATCAGGAAAAATAGGTAATTAATGTTGAAAGTTTTCATTGAACTCTGTTTCGTTTTGTTACATTCTTTACTTCTTGAAGAAGATATTGAGTTTTCATGTATAATAGCCGTATGTAAATATACCAAGAGGATTCGACATTTTTGCAAGAAAAAATCGATCAGTTTGCATTCAGTTTTTTTTCATTATTTATATTACAGGTTCCTATTAAAGTAAATGAAATGAGATTATGAGCTGCCAGAAGACGCCAGATGATAATGCACATTCGTTTCCATTTAATTTCAATCCAATTTTGTCATCATTTAATAAATTTTGCTACATCGTCGAATTTCGCCATTTTTTATGTTTCAGTTTACATGTAAGTGTATTTCAGAATCCAACTGTAATATGGGTTGGTTCCATGTAACTTCATATACAAATTTACGCATATATGCTTTTCATTTCATGAGACGTTGATAACAGTTTGAATACTGGCCAAGTTATGGTGATATGATACATATATATAACTGTGGACGTTCAATCCATGGCTACCTTACGTACCTATTGAATACCTTGTAAATCAATACTCAAAGGCTGGCAAATACAGATCGGCTGAGCGAGGACACATCCCCCTATCGTTTTGCAAACAATATTATCATTAATTAGTTGGAAAATCCTCTTGTAGAACACATACATGTTTTTGACGAAGGACATCATTTCCTCCAATTCCTCTTCAGAATAAATTTTTTTTTGCTTTTGTTTTCGTCCAAAATCTAACCAGATGTTTGAAATCAGGTTCACAGACATTATTAGCAGAACACAAAGAGATCTTTCATGAGGCGAATTGATAATCTGATCCCCAGAGTTACTTCCCTTCGTTTATTTTTCTCCGTAAATAGAATAACAGTTACTTCCCTTTGTTTCAATTTGTCTGTAAATTGACAAACGATCAGCGGGGTCATTTAGATGGATGTATTGTTCTTAACTAAGAAACTTTACTTCAAAGCAAAATAACAATTATTCAAACGAATTTCATTGGCTATGAGCGCCATACGCGTATCTTGTTGTTGACAGTTACAATTTGGATGCAGATTGCAGTAATTAGTAGGCCTTCTCATAATATAATCTGCATCATCGTAACGATTACATTCGATACCATGAATAAATAAGCATTTTTTAAACATTGAAGTAACATTTAATGAGCCGCCATGACCACCCTAGTGTTGAATTACCACACGGTGCCAGATTATCCCAACAAATATTAGGAAGTTTATCCTCAGTTATCTCCCCTTAATCATTCTCTTCTGGTAGCAGGAAACGGTTAATTTGCATTTTTTCTGAAATTATTGGTCATGTTTGAGATATTCAGGTATAGCAGTTTGGTTATGATAAATATATCATTACATGTATATATATTTATAAACTACGTATCAATTACATTAATGGTAGAGAGATAAGCATTGCGTAAATAAAAAAAAAATACTGCTAATTCCAACCTAACACTACAACTTCATAGAAGAAATGTATTTCTGAACGCCTGTCTTAAAATCAACAACACTGTCATGGTAACAAACAACTTACATTTTAGCAAATTCCAACTCGGAAATTCTTCATTACATGACCACATGTAAACACTATGAAAATTTCACTTCCTGTAAAACTAGTCTTTGGGGCGTAGACACAGATTCGGGACGGTTCAAACAGTAATCTCCAACACAAAGCTAAAATGTTATTCTGAAAAAAATGAAACCCCACATTGTCCACTTCAACATGACAAGACCAATTTCAGCAAGGATTTATTTTTTCAAAATTTTAATTAAAACCTTTATAATGAGGTAATCTAATGAACAAAAATATCACCCATGGCCACACCGAGAAACTGTGTACTGCTACCTCTGTGGTAAACAATACATTATACAAACATGATGTTACCGATATAGAGGACTCGGCAGTTTTGTGTATTTACATATAAAGATATATACACATAATTATAAAGATGTGTGGATTTATGTGTATGCACGATGTTCGAATATGAAAGTCACCCATCAGATTTCAAGCAAATACTGTAAATCACTTTTATTTCGCGTGGTATTTATTTTCGCATTAATACACGAGGAGAATCAATCGCGAATTCGAACCCCTCGCGATTATTTATACGAAATAACTCTTGATGACGTCCGTGTTAATTCGGTTACTGATATCGGAGTCCATATATCTAATAGCTCATTCGCAAATTTAAAGTCATGTCTAGATCACGGCGAATAATTTATTTCGCGATCATGTCTGAAGAGGTAAGTTGGCAAATTAAAGAATTCGCGAAACCTAACTAATTTACAGCATACAAATCAAGAGGCCAATTGTTTGTGATAATTTTTTTTTTATTTTACATGTTTTCATGACTCAAACATATCTCATTATTATTGATATTTCACTTGTCAAAATGAAACTAAATCGCGAAGCAGGACCATTATTGATGTTCATGAAAAGTTTGAAAATCTGGTGATACCAGGGGTCACGCTCTAAGAGATATTCGGACGAATATAGTGACCCGATACCTCAATGCACCATACCAACTTTTCTTTCAGGCTGATAAACCTTTCTAAAGCAGTACTGCAGTCACCGTATTAAGAGACTTTCAATCATTGGTGCCACACTTTATAAATTTTCTGAACGTGCCTTCGGAGCTCATGCAATTCACTATTCGTGCACAGGTAGCAATGTTTTGAAAACGTAATACTTTTTTCTCTCCCTTAATTTTTCTTTCTCTTGGCAAATAAAAAAAACAACACTTGTCTACTTCATCAGAGCGCAGAATGACCTCAGAGAAAGAGTTTCCAGCAGGTTTCTAATTAGTCAACTGTACACCTTCAAAATTTCCAAAACTCCATGATTTTGCCAGCTGATGGTAGTGACAGGGTCCTATTTCACTGTATATAGATATTCTGTTTCTAATGCAAGCATGGGTTCAGATGTTTGGTTTCCGGTGTCTATTCACTGCTGAATCCATACAGCTTTTGATCACAGAAATATGTCTTTTAATCCGGATTTCATTGTTAGTCGCATGCATAAGCATTATCACAGGATATCTCCTACTCCTTGCCATTCAGCTAACGTTGATTCTGCCATTTCATTACAAGCATCTCCGATATTTACCCCTGCCGTGGAGATCATACACTGCCATGACCTAGGGTCAGTATTAAGTGAGTCACACCCACCCATTTTTCATCCTTTTTTGCAATACGAAGAAAACGCCTCTTAAACACCTCACTTAAAGATATCAACAACATTTTAAACTGAAAGAGGCTTAATCACAAGGTAACAGATTGTCTAGTGAAAGTTGTTAGAGATGAAGATCAATGATTAGCCTTTGTAGAGTGACAAAAATAAATTAAAAAATAAATAGTTTGCGATTTAACAATATATATATATACTACATAAGAAAAAAAAAAGACCAGTAATGTCTTATCAAAAATATATACATGTAATTTCGTTAGGTCATTAATTATACGCGTAGAAATCGATATATCCCGATTACAAAGGACTTAGTCATCCGTGTAAACATAAAGAACGGGTATATATCGACTAATGTAGAAAGCATGGAGAGATAAATTGTTTCATTTGTTTAACAGTGCACAAAGGGTTAACTGTCGGGTAAAAAGCCATCTAACACATTCAGTAATATCTGATAAGGTTCAGACTGTGAAGATTATTAAACTGGCCGATTCGACTCGTAATTAAGGTCTTGGTTCAATACTCACAGTCTTTACTGTAATATCACATGTGTATTGAGCCCTTTGAAGTTTACAGTACCCTGTGATGACAATGAACAGGCAAGGTTGTCTAGTAACGGGCTCTGATACAGTAAACAAAGTGTTTACTAAGTATATTAACAAGGATAATGTTTCTTTTGTTTTGAAGTAGATATAACCGATAAAAATACGGTCTTTATTGCTGCTATTGTGTTCTATAAATCTGGTCACGAGCGTCTCTTGTCTACACTTAATCAATGTCTAGAATGTTTGCTGCTTTTCTTTATGTCAACCTGTCTATGAAAGGAAACTTGGAACAACAGAAAAAAAAAAAAGAAAAAAAAAAAAAAATCGCTGTAGAGGCTGCCTTGAAAATCAACGTCGATTTCACATCGGCCATCATTGGATGAGACAAATTACCATGTATGCTTATTAGGTCGTTCAACTTTTAATCGATTTATGCAGATTGACTGTTGATATCAGGTTAATTAATGTGAGTTTAATTGTGATGTTGTTTGATTTTTAAAATCACTGATGTGATAAATTTTATGAAATAAAAAGATGAAAGATGTGACTTACCATAAAACATAGCAATACAGATACATACGACTCGGATAATGATCAATACAGACCATGTACATCAACACAGACCATATACACCAACACAGACCAGATGCATCAACACAGACCACATACTCCAACACAGACCAGATACATCAACACAGATACATCAACACAGACCAGATACATCAACACAGACCAGATACATCAACACAAACCAGATACCTACATCAACACAGACCACATACATCAACACAGACCACATATCCAACACAGACCAGAACACAACACAGATACATCAACACAGACCAACAACAGATACATCAACAGACCAGATACATCAACAGACCAGATACCTCAACACAAACCAGATACATCAGCACAGATACATCAACACAGACTAGATACATCAACACAGACCAGATACATCAACACAGACCAGATACATCAACACAGATACATCAACACAGACCAGATACATCAACACAGACCACATACACTAACACAGACCAGATACATCAACACAGATCATATACACCAACACATACAAGATACATCAACACAGACCACATACTCCAACACAGACCAGATACACCAACACAGATACATCAACACAGACCAGATACATCAACACAGATACATCAACACAGACCAGATACATCAACACAGACCATATACACCAACACAGACCAGATACATCAACACAGACCACATACTCCAACACAGACCAGATACA